AAATAATACTAATAATGAACTCACTACCTGCTAACATAAATGACCTATTTTATGAAAAATAACTGTCTTCTAAAATAAACTAAATTAGTGAGATTAGCCACCCTTCATATTTTTGCAAATCTCTTTAATAGCTAGTTCTGTAGAAGACAGCTGGTTTCTCCTATCTGCTTCTGCATTCAATCTACTGTGATACCACAGGCCGTGTATTCTCTGGAAAAATTCACTATACATTTGTAAGAGTATGAGAGAGAAAAAGGGTAAATAACATCTTAGTATTATATGAAAACAGTTTTGACTTTGAGGACACCTGAAAGGGTCTTGCACAAAATCCCAGGGTCCCCAGACCATACTTTGAGAATCACTGTTCTAAAATAATTTTTGAGATGTACTTTTTTTTCTCAAATGAAATTTACAATTTTTAGATGTCAATATTTTTTTCATAGACCTTTATTGGAGTGTAATTGCTTTACAATACTGTGTTAGCTTCTGTTGTACAACAAAGTGAATCAGCCATATGCATACACATATCCCCATATCCCCTCCCTCTTGAGCCTCCCTTCCACCCTCCCTATCCCACCCCTCTAGGTCATCGCAAAGCACCGAGCTGATCTCCCTGCTATGCTGCTGCTTCCCACTAGCACTCTATTTTACATTCAGTAGTGTTTATATGTCGATGCTACTGTCACTTCCCCCCAGCTTCCCCCTCCGCGCCCACCCCCCGTGTCCTCAAGTCCATTCTCTATGTCTAAGACGTCAGTATGTTAACTGGGTTTAATGGTGCCTTCCACTTCTTTCATTGATATAACAGAACTTTGCTGGTATTGATTTCCTGATTCTCTTATTATAGGGTATCAGCAAATAATTTGTTCCAGACAGTGTGTCAGTAAGAATGGGGTAGATTATTCTATTGGAACAAACATTTCTAAAATCTCAGTGGGTCACCGGCTGCTTAAGGGAACCCTCATCTTGGACTATCTCTAGCTGATGAACAGCCGCCATCTGAAATGACAGCCACTGTAGCAGAGAAACAGTGGGCATGGCTCACAGGTGCTGGCTCCAAATTCTTCTGCCAAAGCTACACCCATCAGCCCAAGGAGGCAGGAAGGTGCAACCCTACCTTTGTCCAGAAGTAAAGAAAATAGAGCATTGAAAACCGTGTGACCAACACAGAGGGTGCATGAGTAAAATGTTTTCTGAGCCTCTGCACAGCTATTTTGCCTTCACACATGAATGATTGAACAGGGGGTGTATTTGTTAGGCATTTCCTTTTACTTCTGAATCTACATACACACTTGAATGACTGCTTTAGACATTTAAATGTTTCAAATTTACTTTTCATTTTTCCTTTGGATTTTTTCTTTTTTTCCAGCTATGTGCCGGGGAAATTCCCTTGTCTTTATCTTATGACCATTTTAGTTAAACTTTTGTTTGTTTGTTTGTTTTGTTTTGTTTTTTTGTGGTACGCAGGCCTCTCACTGTTGTGGCCTCTCCTGTTGCGGAGCACAGGCTCCGGACGCTCAGGCTCAGCGGCCATGGCTCACGGGCCCAGCCGCTCCGCGGCATGTGGGATCCTCCCAGACCAGGGCACGAACCCGTGTCCCCTGCATCGGCAGGCGGACTCTCAACCACTGTACCACCAGGGAAGCCCTGGTTAAACTTAAAAAAAAAAATTTTCAGCAATCACTTTAAATTTCCAGGCCCATTATCTTATTTTCCTGTTTTTTCTTCATGGCATCCTGGACATAATATCTTCTCCACTGTGTATGAAAATTGTTTTTTAGAAACTCTCTTCTGTTCCCCGTAGTATTTCTATTTGTTCTGGAGTCATTTTTGCTCTCTGCTCATCTTGGTTCTGCCCCTTTGTGCTGTTAGTTTCCACAGATATCTGTGGCCTGTTATTGTTTGTTCATTCTTAAGGGTGAGGCACTGATAAGCTAGCTTGGAACTGCATTTAATGAGATGGGCTTGAAAACCTGTAGCTTTGCTGGGTAAATCCCAAATGCCCAAAGGTGAAGACCTTTCTTCTGTGTCGTTTACATTTTTCTTAAGAGGAAACCTCTAGTTTCTTGCCTGGATGCAGGAGTTCTGTATGGTGGGGTCAGGAAAGAGTTGGGGAGCACATTGTTTTGTATTTTCTCCTTTCAAACAATCCCTCTCTTTTCATTCTTGCATCTTCTTCCCCACCTCCACTACCTCCCCAGGGGCCTGTAAGACACCCTGGGCCCCTCTGTGACCTCTAGGAGCATCCTCCACCAGCAGTAATGATGAATGCTCTGACCACTTTTTCTTTTCCAGACTTTGGTTTAAGTTTTTCATCCAATCCCCTTGTCTTTGTCATTGTGACTCTAATTTCTTTACTGTCATTTTAGAGCACTCTCCAGTGAGAGAGGGGGAAAGCACTTGTTTTCAATCAGCTATCTTTAAGCAAAAACTTTTTTTTCTTTTTTTTTTTTTTTTTTCACACATTACACTTCCCCCTCACCACATCCTCAAGTCCATTCTCTAGTAGGTCTGTGTCTTTATTCCTGTCTTACCCCTAGGTTCTTCATGACATTTTTTTTTCTTAGATTCCACATATATGTGTTAGCATACAGTATTTGTCTTTCTCTTTCTGACCCACTTCACTCTGCACGACAGACTCTAGGTCCATCCACCTCACTACAAATAACCCAACTTCGCTTCTTTTTATGGCTGAGTAATATTCCACCGTATACATTCACCACATCTTCCCCACCCATTCATCCGACGATGGACACCCGGGTTGCCCCCATCTCCTGGCCACTGTAAATAGAGCTGCAATGAACATTTTGGTACATGACTTTTTCTGAACTATGGCCTTCCCAGGGCACATGCCCAGTAGTGGGCAAAAACATTTTTTTAAGGAGTTCAGTGAAGGAATGGATTTTATTCTATCCTGATGCATATTTGGAGAATGGAAAGTTCCAATGACCCTTTTATGGTGGGATTAAAAAATGCTGAGTCTTTACAACTTTTAGAAATACAGAGAAGTTTATTAAGACATTATCAGAAGGGGGAACAATTTATCAAGTAAGAATCAGAATTATAAAGCTTTTTGAGTCTCTAAATTACTTCTCACAGGTGTGGTTATGTTTGAAATCCAGAGGTCTTCTATTTCTTCATGGATATAACACTTCCACAGGCAGGTTTAGATATAGAGCAACCTGTCCTAGTTTTGAATATTCACACAAGTCTCTATATTAGACCAAAGAAAAAGACATATTCTCAATATTAATTGAAACTTTATCAGAGGAGTGTCTTTGACCTAATTTTATGATGTGGAATGCCATTCCTGCCCCTGCAGTTACAGATGGGAGAGGTCTAGCTCCTTTACACCTTCCTGAGATTTATTCTACTTGTTATTAACTAAGAAGACTTGCAGTTCAGTGGTAGGTTCTGTAGTATTGTCTCAGTTTGTTTTTTTATTTCTTTGTCTGTAACTTATTTTTTTGTAATATGTATTCATCAGGGTTCTTCAGAGAAACAGAACCAATAGGCTGTGTGTGTGTGTGTGTGTGTGTGTGTGTGTGTGCATATATATAGAGAGAAAGAGATATTTATTGTAAGGAATTGGCTCACACATTAAGGGAGGCCAGCAGGTCCAAAGTCTGCTATGCACCAGCAGGCTAGAGACCCAGCAGAGTCTCTGAAAGCACTCAGCTGTAGAATTCCTTTCTACTCAGGGAGGCTGGTCTTTTTGTTTTATTCAGGCCTTCAGCTGATTGGATGAGACCCACCTACATTATGGAAGGCAAACTGCTTACTCAAAGTTCACCAATTTAAAATAAAATGTTAGTCTTATCCCCCAAACCCTCCATGTTGAGACATAAAATTAACCATCTGAGTATCATATAAATTCCTGTAAAGCTTTTACAATTTTAAAATTCAATGTTTTCCAAAGAGAGTTTGGATGAAAGTCTTTTTACAGTAGTTTTGATTAGCACAGGGTAAACTCTTTCACTTCTATGTACAAACCTTCCTTAAGCCCAGTGTATTCTTCTATTGCACCCTTGATTATTCTCTAAGTAAATAAATTCCATCTATTCTGGTCCTTGCACAAGAACATCATTTTACACATGTTGGTCCTCCATTGAGTGCCTATCATCGAAAAGAATGCAAATAACAAATGTTGGCTAGGATGTGGAGAAACGGGAACCCTCCTGCACAGTTGATGGGAATGTAATTGGTGCAACCACAGTGGAAAACAGCATGGAGGTTTCTCAAGAAACTAAAAATAGAACTACCATATGACCTTGCAATTCTACTCTTGGGTATATATCTGAAAAAAACAAAAACACCAATTCAAAAAGATACATGCACCCCAATGTTCCTAGAAGTATTATTTACAATTGCCAATACAAGGAAGCAACCTAAGTGTCCATCAACAGATGAACAGATAAAGAAGATATAATGTATATGTATACAATGGAATACTACTCAGCCATAAAAAATGAATGAAATTTTGCCAGTTGCCACAACACGGATGGACTTGGAGGGCGCTATACTAAGTGAAATAAGTCAGATAGAGAAAGACAAACACTGGATGATATCACTTATATGTGGAATGTAAAAAAATACAACCAACTAATGAATGTAACAAAAAAGAGGCAGACTCACAGATATAGAGAACAAACTAGTGGTTACCAGTGGGGAGAGAGGGGGAAGGGGGAATTTAGGGGTGACCGACTGGGAGATATAAACTATTGGGTGTAACATAGGCTACAGGGATATATTGTATAACACGGGGAATTATAGACAATATTTTGTCATAACTGTAAATGGAGTATAACCTTTAAAAATTGTATAAAAATATATGTAGTAAATATTCATGTAGAAAAAAGAATAGTCATTATAATATATAATTTTGTATATAAAAACATTCAGAAGCTGTAAAAAATAAATAAATAAAATAAAATCTTTTGACCTCCATGGGCCTCTCAGAAACTCAACGTCTACTTTCATATTGTGTCTTTGTTTCTCAGAATGATCACAGGGGACCAGAACCCAGAGGAGCAGAACCCAGAGGAGCAGTTTTTCTATGAGTTCATATTCAGGCTTTTCAAAGAAAATAAGGTGGAGATTGCAACTGCAATAACAAAGCCGTTTCCTTTCTTCATGGGCCTCCGAGATCGGGGCTTCATCCCTGAGCAGATGTATGAGGTAAGTGAGGAGAATTCCCTCATGATAACCTGCCAAATTTAGGATGCAATGAGCAGGCTAAAGATCCTCCTATGAACAGGGACGTTCGCCATCCTATAAGTTAGGAGGTGAGAGGAGAAGCAGCATCACAGACAACATCCCTTCTTCTGTAGTAAACAGGGGAGGCGCATGGCGATGGAGATGTGGCAACATTGGAATGGCGAGTAGGTAGGGAGCATCTTAGATATTTTGATACAATATGATAACAATAACAAAATTAAAGCAAATAAGTGAGTTGGGCAACATTTCATTACAAAGCCCTCTTATTTTACGCACTCGAACCTGAAGTGATTGAACTCATAGGGAAGTCGTGTCACGGTAGGATAAATTTGGAAGCAGACGCTTGCTGCTCACTCTCCAAATCGTTTCTTGCACTTTAGACATTTCCAGATACAGAATACAGGTAAAGGTTAACAATGGACCTTCCTGGGGATACTGAGGACAAGTCTTCTTTTTGTCTTTGTGAATTTTATTTGCCCTTTGGCAACGTTCACAGAAGGGGAGAGTGGTTACATGGTTTCCTGGAGGGAAGGGCAGTGGTTATTGTCTGGTCAACTAAATGGCCTCTCAGTACCAGTAAGGGCCACTCCTGAAGCATCCTGTCCAGGCTCTTAAAGCCCTCACACAACATTCTACTTTGAACCGACTTTTATTCTTCAAAATTGCTCTCTTAAGTGACCATCAATGTCAGAGAGGCAGGTTAACAAAATAAGAGTCTATTTTTATGATGGAGAATATTTTAGAAGTCATCCAAATATGTGTAACATTCTAATATTTCACCAGAGAACAATTAGTCTATTTATAATCCGAGTCTCCTATAACCCATACACTCAAAGCTACATAATTCACCATTCAATATTTTTAAGCATTTTCAAGAAGCTTGTACAAATCTGGTCCCAGTGGATAGAGTGGTGTATGATGCTCTCAGTGAACTGGAGAAGAAATTTGACAAGACAATTCTGGATGCCCTGTTCAGCAGAGCTAACCTGAAGGCCTATCCTGATTTACTTCATGTTTGCAGAAACTTCCAAAATGGTAATTACAACTTTCAACAACTTTTGGGGGTTCAAGTCCACTTCATTCACTGATTCATTCATTCACTCTTCATTATATTTGACAGTTATTATATTGAGTGACTACTACATGACAGGCAGAGAGAGAATACAATAGAGAAGAAAACACACATGACTTGTGTCCTCATGGAGCTTACGCATAGTGGGGGTGACACCTTAGCCAAGTAATCCCACAAATGATTGCTCAGCCAGGACCTGAATTTGGTGCTGAGAAACATAGGATTTGAGTCTCTACTTTTCTGGAGGAAGGCATGAATTATGCCTTTTGTAGGAAAGGAGGTAGCCCTATCCGATACTTGCAGACATGTTCAAAGATGGAAAGATTTTCTTCGTATGAAAAGATTTGTCATTCAATGCAGTCCTGTGCCCGAACAAAGAATGGAGAATTCACAAGGGAAGGCCAGCACATACCCATGCATTGGGGAGGGGGCAGAATGTGAACGCTACAAAGTAGGAAAGGAACAGTGGACCTGCAGAACCATGTGGTTGAAAAACGGAGCATGGGTGGGAGGGCTTGGAAGCTCGTTCTGGAAAGGGGAGTTGGAGGTGATTTTCGAGGGTCTAACACCCTATGCCAAGGAATTTGAAGTTTATTATTTGGGAAATAAAGATGTAATAAAGGATTTTTAAACAGAGAAAAAGTAAAAGAAGTCAGTATAAAGAATGAGATGTGTTTATTTGTGAAAATTATATCTTGTAAAATAAGAGCTATCTCATTTCTCCAGTGTGATATCTAAGTCAGAAAAAGGAATAAAGGAAATGAAATACCTAGCCACAAATTTCGAGTCAATATTATATTTGTAGCCAGAACATCCCCAGGCCATGGATAGGAAGGGAATGGCAGTTACCTTTACTGCCCACATCTCAGGGGCTCTGATCCTCTCCCTGTACTGTAGGGATCCCCCTCCCTGGACCCCAGGACCCACATCACATGTGTTAGTTTCCGGGGCTTCCTGTGCTGAGATCTCCTACACGTGAGGCTTGCTGCTGCCCTCAAGCTGCACTGCCCACTGCCTGGCTCAGCACAGCTGCCCACCTGCCCCCAGGGGAGGCTGCCGCTGGTGCCTCCCAGACCCTTTTGTCAGTGGCCCAGAGCCAAGATGCTGGTAAGAGGGGTCAGAGAAGCCTCCTGTCCCCCATCATTGAAATGCCTGCAACTGTAACGCAAATGTACCTCCTGGAGGCAATACCCACTGAGGGGTCAGGGCAGTAGGGAGATGCTTTTTCCATCCCCAGGACATGTTGACTTCATGCCTAGGCCTCCTTATGTTCTCTAAACCTCTCACCCACATAACATTTACCCCCATGTCCTCTTCCAAAGTTGGCCTGGGCATGAAGTCAACATGTCTTGGGGACAGAAAAAGCATCTCCCTACTGCCCTGACCCCTCAGTGAGTATTGCCCCCAGGAGGTACAGTTGTGTTAGTATTCACTTCCCATCTGTGCCTTTCAGAAAATTTTCATTTCCTGTCTGTGTCTTTCACAACGTGTCTTTCCTTGTTTTCTGGATTTCTCCCCACCCATCCTACCCCAGGGAAGTACTAGTTCCTCTTCACTGTATGTCTCTTTATAACAGGTCTTCTTCCCTGACCCAAGGTCTTTTCTCCTTCCTTCTTTCCTCCCTTCCTTCCTTCCTTCCTTCCTTCCTTCTTCTCTCTCTCCTTTCCTTCCTTCCTTCTAAATCTCCATCTTTGAAAGATGTTAGGGCTTTTCTTCTATAATGTAGGTGTATTTCTCTAGAAATATTAGCTTTCTCCTGAAGAAATCCCTCTGCTTCTTCCCTGGTCTTAGTTGCACATAGAATTTACAAAACACATTCCACGTGTATTATTTATTTTAAATTGGCTTTCACTGTTTTCTGATCATTTTGAAGGGGGTTGACCACTACTTACAACTTTTCCACTGTCCATTCTTTTTTGTTTTTTAACATCTTTGTTAGAGTATAATTGCTTTACAATGGTGTGTTAGTTTCTGCTTTATAACAAAGTGAATCAGTTATGCATATACAGATGTCCCCATATCTCTTCCCTCTTGCATCTCCCTCCCTCACACCCTCCCTATCCCACCCCTCTAGTTGGTCACAAAGCACCAAGCTGATCTCCATGTGCTATGCGGCTGCTTCCCACTAGCTATCTACCTTACGTTTGGTAGTGTATATATGTCCATGCCACTCTCACTTTGTCACAGCTTACCCTTCCCCCTCCCCATATCCGCAAGTCCATTCTTTAGTAGGTCTGCATCTTTACTCCCATCTTGCCCCTGGGTTCTTCTGACCATTTTTTTTTCTTTTTTTAGATTCCATATATATGTGTTAGCATACGGTATTTGTTTTTCTCTTTCTGACTTACTTCACTCTGTATGACAGTCTCTAGGTCCATCCACCTCACTACAAATAACTCAGTTTCGTTCCTTTTTATGGCTGAGTAATATTCCATTGTATATATGTGCCACATCTTCTTTATCCATTCATCTGTTGATGGACACTTAGGTTGCTTCCATGTCCTGGCTATTGTAAATAGAGCTGCAATGAACATTTTGGTACATGACTCTTTTTGAATGATGGTTTTCTCAGGTTATATGCCCAGTAGTGGGATTGCTGGGTCATATAGTAGTTCTATTGTTAGTTTTTTAAGGAACCTCCATAGTGGCTGTATCAATTTACATTTCCACCAACAGTGCAAGAGGGTTCCCTTTTCTCCACACCCTCTCCAGCATTTATTCTTTGTAGATTTTTTGATGATGGCCATTCTGACTGGTGTGAGATTATATCTCATTGTAGTTTTGATTTGCATTTCTCTAATGATTAATGATATTGAGCATCCTTTCATGTGTTTGTTGGCAATCTGTATATCTTCTTTGAAGCAATGTCTATTTAGGTCTTCTGCCCATTTTTGGATTGAGTTGTTTGTTTTTTTAATATTGAGCTGCATGAATTGCTTGTATGTTTTGGAGATTAATCCTTTGTCAGTTGCTTCATTTGCAAATATTTTCTCCCATTCTGAGGGTTATCTTTTCATCTTGTTTATGGTTTCCTTTACTGGGCAAAAGCTTTTAAGTTTCATTAGGTCCCATTTGTTTATTTTTGTTTTTATTTCCATTTCTCTAGGAGGTGAGTCAAAAAGAATCGTGCTGTGATTTATGTCATAGAGTGTTCTGCCTATGTTTTCCTCTAAGAGTTTGATGGTGTCTGGCCTTACATTTAGGTCTTTAATCCATTTTGAGCTTATTTTTGTGTATGGTGTTAGGGAGTGTTCTAATTTCATTCTTTTACATGTAGCTGTCCAGTTTTCCCAGCACCACTTACTGAAGAGGCTGTCTTTTCTCCATTATATATTCTTGCCTCCTTTATCAAAGATAAGGTGACCATATGTGCGTGGGTTT